ACCGCAGAGCGTTGCAGCAGAAGTCGGGAAGGCGAAAGGGCGCGGTGGGCAGGCGGCGCGCGTGCGTGCGTGCGTGGATCTGGCGGCGGACGGCAAACGAGCTCTCCTGGCGGCGTGACTCGTCAATCTGCTGATCCGTCCCTCATCATTGAAATTACACGCGAGATCAACGTCGCAGACAATCTCGGCGCCCTTGCTACTTCAATAGTTTACCATTACCATCCACGCTGAGCTGTTAGACTCCGATTCTCAGTGCAGTGTCACAGCTCGCGACCATGTCGTCACCTCCCACGCCTGTGCGTACCTCTTCAGAGGCCAGCAGCGACACTATGGGCCTCAGCACCACGATGGGCTCTGCGACAAGCTTAGCCACGCCCGTCGACTCTGCACCCACGTCGCCCTCTCCATCCGTGCTAAATGGCCCCGTACAAAGCAAGAGCTCCGAATCAACCTCAAAGCCTCGAGTTGCAGCCCAAGATCGTCGAAGTGGACCTTCTGGTCACCGCTTCGCTACCACATGCGCCACTGTGGACGACCCCAACCACAAGGACCAGTATGGCTCCTCCAGCACCCCCATTTACATGAGCGCCACTTTCAAGGGTCTTCCCGGAGCCGAATTCGATTACTCTCGCAGCGGGAACCCCACCCGAAGCATGCTGCAGCATCACTTGTGTCAGCTGCAAAACTGTCGATACAGCTTTGCTGTCAGTTCCGGCATGGCCTGTCTGGACGTGATCACGCGCTTGCTCAAGGCTGGGGAACGCATCATCGCAGGCGATGATCTCTATGGGGGCACGAATCGTCTGCTCACCTATCTCGCCACGCACGGGGACATCAAGACGGATCATGTGGACACCACTGATGCGGACAAGGTGCAAGAGATTCTCGAACGACGTGCGGCCGAGTCGGCCCGCGGTGAATGCGGCAAGGTGAAGATGGTTCTGTTGGAAACGCCAACCAATCCCCTCCTCAAGATCTGCGACCTCGAGCGCTGTGCACGCGCTGCCAAACGCTTTGCTCCGGAAGCCATTGTTGTAGTGGACAACACCATGATGAGCCCATACCTCATGCGGCCCCTCGAGCTGGGCATCGACGTCGTCTACGACAGTGGCACCAAGTATCTTAGTGGTCACCATGATCTCATGGCTGGTGTTATTGCGTGTGATCGCGAGGATGTCGGCAAGGTGAGGGGCTGGCACGCCGAGGAGGCCCGGCTATAGTCCGCTAGCTCACACCACTTTGGCATTCTTTCGCAGCAAATCGCATTTACAGTCAACTCCATCGGCAATGCGCTCACCCCAATGGACTCTTTCCTTCTGCTGCGAGGCATCAAGACGCTCGCCGTTCGTATGGATAAGCAACAGACTTCTTCCAAACACGTCGCGCAGTATTTGCACTCTCTGGGTTTCAAGGTGAATTACCCAGGTTTGGCTTCACACCCAGGCAAGGACATCCACGATCGTCAAGCATCAGGACCGGGTGCTGTGCTGAGCTTCGAGACTGGGGACAAGGAACTCTCTGAGCGTATCGTCGGTGCGACTCGATTGTGGGGCATCAGCGTCAGCTTCGGCTGTGTCAACTCGCTCATCAGCATGCCATGCCTCATGAGTCACGCCTCCATCGATCCCAAGGTCCGCGCGGCTCGCCGCTTGCCCGAAGACCTCATTCGCCTGTGCGTCGGCATTGAAGACTGCAGAGATCTAATCGAAGATCTGGAAGCGGCCCTGCTCCAAGCTGGCGCTATCAAGAGAAAGTCGCACCTGAGCAGTGCGACTTCCACGCACACGGGTCAATCCACAGCCGAAGAGCATGTGGCTGCAGCGGCAAACTTTGAGCGAATTATCAGCAGCGAAGCCGACGAATCAGTTGCAAGTCTGAACTCAGGGTTGGCTACGGCGTCGCTCGAAACACGCGGCGGGGATCCTTTGCAAGGTCTCCCTGCAAGCTCTACCGCAGACGCTACTTCGGCTGCCATGGCAGCAGCGGCGCCTGCCTCTTTGCTGGTCAGCGCGCCCGGGAAAGTGATTCTCTTTGGGGAACATGCTGTGGTTCACGGAGTCACGGCCATAGCTGCGAGCGTGGCGCTGAGATGCTATGCGCACGTCGCCTCACGCGCCGACGCGAAGGTGAGCCTGACCTTACCTGATCTAGGTACCGAGCACACTTGGGCTCTCGACGAACTGCCGTGGGACCTGGCACCTAGCGTTGCGAGCTGGCGCGGCGTCCACAAGACTCCGGAGACACTCAACGAGCTGCTGCATCAGGCTCTTGAGACTCTTGTCGGTGCCGTGGCGGAGGAGAGCGAGAGAAGCCACGCTGCCAGCGTAGCCTTTTTGTACTTGTACCTCTGCATTGCACCAAGAAGCAAAGCGTAAGTCTCGCAGCCGTGGCGTCAAACGACAAGCGAGCGCATGCTGAATCGATCCCACTCTTCTGGTTAGTACCGGCCAAGCGTTTGTGCTTCGCTCCACCTTGCCCATCGGCGCTGGGCTAGGAAGCAGCGCTTCGCTCTCTTCCTGCATCGCATCAGCCCTGCTCGTCACGCACGGCCGCATTGCTGCCCCCACGCCTGGTTCGGTCATTTCGCGCTCGGCATCTGATCTGATCAATAGCTACGCATTCCTCTCGGAGAAGGTGATTCATGGCAACCCTTCCGGCGTCGACAATAGCGTCGCTACTCACGGAGGAGCGCTGGCGTTTGCTCGTGCGAGCACGAGGACGGGGCGCAGGCAGAATGAGCTGCGATCCTTGCACGGCTTCAAGAGCTTCCGATTTCTTCTCACGGACACCAGGGTCGGACGCGACACGAAGAGCCTGGTTGCTGGTGTGGGCGCGAAGCTGACGGCTGACCCGCAAGGCGTTGGAGCGACTTTGACAGCCATCCAGGCCATTGCGGACGATGCTGAGAACGTGCTTGGATCGTCGACCAGCCGAGAGGCGCAATTGAGCTCGCTCGCCCGCCTCATCGACGAGAACCACACGCACCTGGTCAGTCTGGGCGTGAGTCATCCGGCTCTGGAAACGATCAAGCAGACCACTGCCGGTGCGGGCCTGTCGACGAAGTTGACGGGCGCAGGCGGAGGCGGATGCGCAGTCACTTTGGTACCTGACGATTTTGAAGAGATCAAGCTTCGACAATTGGTCAGCAAGCTGGAGGGCCAAGGGTTCACGTGCTACGAAACGTTGGTCGGTGGACCTGGCGTCGGTGCACTGTCCCCTCACAGCGCCGTGCAAAGCTCCAACGACGGTCAAGCTGCAAGAGAGACGCTGATCAACTCTTCGCCCGAGGCTCTGACTGCTTGGGCCGACAAGGTCGGAGCGTGGATACACTCTGACAGCTAGACTGGCCTGCTCAGTAGTTTTGAATGTAACCAACGTCTTTGAGAGCAGGATCGACTGCCACGCATGTTTGTGGCCTCGTTGTTGAACCAAGTGCATTCGTCAAGCTCTAAGGTCTAAATAACCTTAGCGCATGCTCCGCGGGACGTCCGGCCTGAACAATTTATTACATTGACGTGCACTTTCAAAGACGCGTACAGCTGCAGCAAAGTCACTTACGCCTCGACATTGTAGATGTCGAAGGCCGGTTCGGCGGGCAAAGCGTGCTCGGCAATCTTGGCGTCGTCACCCTGCGCATCCTTGACGAGCGCAATGTGAAGTTCTTGCAGACCCAGCGTCCTCTTGAGGTAAGCTGCGGCGGATTGCAGAGTTGCGAGCTCATCAAAGGGAAGTGCTCTGTTGAAAGCCACGCTGGGTCCAAATTCTGCTAAGCGTCTCTATGTAAGGGATGCGAGACCGAGCGAGCAGTCAGCAACGCATCACGTGCGCAGGAGAGCGCGCTGCAACTTGACGCAGACTCGGACGCCCGGGTCGAACGCTCACCTTGAAGTTCATGACGAAAGGCATGACGCGCTTGTCCTTGACGATGCCTGCCTCAGCCAGCGCTTGCCTCACACCCTTATCGTCCACCGCACCCGTCTTTTCGTCCAAATGACTCTTGATGGCCTGCACACATGCATCTTGCCAATTGGGAAATTCCGTTGCGACGAACATCTTGACGGCTTTAGGTTTCTTGGGGTCAAAGCCTGAGCTGTCCTTGCCCTTCGACTTGCGCTTGAGGATCGTCGCCTCTCCATCTCGGATCGTCTTTGTCGTCGCTCGGACGTAAGCTGCCGCATCTGACAGTCCCTTGTCGATGGGCTTGGAGAGAGCAGGCCATCTTTGAAGTTGCACACTCTGCTTCTCGTTGCCCAGTGTCTTCTTCCAAAGGTGCTCTGCAAAGTGAGGTGCGATAGGAGTCATGATGAGAGCTTGGACTCTGATCCATTGTTCGATCAGCTCCACATGCATGCCGATGTCCGCCGTCGCTTCTCTGTACATATCTCTTGCGGTGAGCAGCTCGTACCATCCGAACTTGAGCGCTTCTCGATACAGCGACTCTTCGTAAGCGGCGGCTGCTTGCTCCACGAGCAGATTCATATCGTTTTCGAAAGCTGCGTCCCAGAAGGAGTCTTTGGACCCGCTCCTGAGCTTCGATCGATGAGACATTTGAGCATCGCACCAGTCCAGCAGAGTGTGGATGCGGAGGATGTTGGCGTTGGCAGTCTTTTCTTCAAAGTTGGCATCCTCGATACCATCTCCAGCATCAGCAAGACTGATGCGCGTCGCATCGGCTCCGAATTTGTCGACAGCTTGACGCAGCGTCAAGACGTTCCCTGTGCTCTTGCTCATCTTCTTTCCGTTGAGCATCAGATGGCCGTTGATGCGCATTGCTTGGGGCCAGTGCTCCTCGGGAAATAGAGCAGCGTGGACGTAGACGCAGAAGGTCAAGTGATTCGGTATGAGGTCCTTACCACTTGATCGTAGATCCATGGGGTAGAAGTACCTGAACTCGCGCCTCAGCTTGGTCAAGATCTCTTCAGAAATCGCAGAATCCTGGGGATAAGCGGTGTCGCTGAGAATGTAGTCCCAGACGTCGTCTGTCAGATCCTTCGCTTGAATGCCGAGCGGCCCGACTTTGGAACCATCCACGACGCCGTCTTGCAGGAAGTGAGAGACAGTGTAGTACGCCATGTAGATAGTAGAGTCGCTGAGCGATTCCACGAGGAATTGCTCGTCCCAAGGGAGCTTGGAACCAAGACCGTAGCTCCTAGCACAGGCCCATTGATGAAGCCAGCCGAGAACTCCTTCAAAACCGTTCCTCGTCTCATCGTTGAACGTCTGCATCTGAGCGACGAGCCTGCAGAAGCGAAACATCACGAGGCACGTCAGGGCCGCGTTCGCCTGGCGCATTTGGTTTCTTGATTCAAATTACTCACTTTTCGGCCTGCATCTTCCACTTGTCCTCTCCGTAGTCAATGTACCACTGATCGCACAATGCGACAACACATTCGTCCGCGCTTCTACTGACCACCTTGCCCTCGGGTTCTGCGTAAGCAAATGCGAGTCCGGCATCAATCATGTCCTGTCTGACCTTAGGCTTGGCATCCTGCACCGCTTCGCCCTTGTACTGTCCCGTGACCATTTTGCCAGAGTAGAAGCCTTCCTTGTATGCAAGCTCCTTTGCCTCTGCCAACTGCTTTGCGTCTTTCGGAGACTGGATCTTGAGCTGCTTGCACAGCGTCTCGGCCGTCAAATCGCCATACGTGGGCGTCGTGATCACAGGGAACGGGTCGTAAGAGACCCACTGAGGGTCCACCTTGTAGTACTCTGCTTTTTTGCGCAGCTCCATCAAATTCGCGTAGTCGTCCGGAGAATCGCTTGGCACGGAAGTCACGACGCCTGTTCCTTTTGTGGGCAGAACCGAGTCCATAGGGAGAATGTAGACCTCTGGGTAGTGTCCAAAGGGAGCTTTGATGCGGGTTCCGACAAGCTTGGATCCTGCAATCGAGGCAACTTTCTTGACCTCTCCCCGTTCAGATGTGACACCTTGGAAAGCCATGTTTCTGGCAGCGCGTTCAGTGCACAGATAGACGTCTTTGTCATTGATGGCAAAGAGGCCATAGTCGATGCTCGGGCCCACGAAACAATTGGTTTGTCCATACCTATGCTCTCGGAGACAGTCGGTGATGAGCGATCCCCGAGTGACACTCAAGTGTGGACGGCCGAGCACATGCACTCACATTGTCTCGGGTCTCAGCGTGGCAGCGACGAAATAGACATTCTTGCCCTGCAGCTTAGCGTCCAATTCCGGTGCAGCATTCGCACTCCACTGCACCACCTCCATCTTGAGACCTGTGTATTCTTGGGGACCCAACGCCTCACCCTCAGCTCTGTCGTGGTCCATGCAAGGTTGACCATCTTTTGGACTGTAGATGGTGTATCTCTCTCCGAATTTGATCTTGTCCATCGCTCGCAGCTTGTTGATCTGCCACCTTACGAAAGAGTCAAAGTACGGATTGATGTCTGTGGTCAAGAACGCGCGTCGCCAATCAATACGGGCTCCGATGGCCGTGCAGTCGGCCTGGGAGCAGTGTTTCGAAAAGGTCAATTGGTGCGCTCTACATCACAAGCCTTTAAATGAAAGTTGTGCCCAATGCTCACCTTGGAGATAGGAGGGTAATAATGCAGCCAATACTGAGCATCCGCAAATTTGTGGATCTCTTCCCTGGGGACCCCAGTAGCCTCCATGATCTGGAACTGATATTTGAGTCCAGTGCTCTTAGCAGCCACCTTGCCTTTTGTAGCTTTTCCCACATTGGCTGCCTCTCCGCCTCCAGCAGCAGCTGCCGTCGCCTCCACTGCAGCTGCTTCGTTCTCAGCTTCAGGGTCAAAGCCAGAGAAGTCAGGCCCGAAAAGCTCGATTTCACGTTGAAGTTTGTCGGCACAAGCCTGATGATTCAAAAAGGTCAAATGTCAGTCTGGGCTTTCATATCACTCCTTCTGCAAGGCCGAGCACGATGACAGAGATGACTTACGCGGATCGGCATGCCGGTACAGTGGAAAGCCCAGGGGAAGAGAGCTCTTTTGCCCTTCATGCGCTCATAACCAGTAGCGAACTCGATCTTGGAGAGCGAGAATGCGTGTCCTGAAGACGAGAGGTGGTGCGGCCGCGCCATTACAATCTCAGCGTCTTCAACTCCAGTACGGGCACAAAGCAGACTCACCCAAATGCAGGCTTCCGTTAGCGTATGCGAATGGGAAAGTGAAGAGGGTCTTGGGGTACTTCTTTCGGATCTCTTCTGGCGACATGGTCTCCAAACTCTCATCCTTCTCTGAGACCATTGGACTGTCCACCTCGAAATACTTTGCGGTACCCCATTCGGATTGGTACTGCTTCTCCAGCGATTGCAGGTGATCTCTTTTGGACGTCTACGAGGGATCAGACGGGTCAGCATACAGAGCAGCATGCGCACCAAGTTGGCGTCAGGAAAGCCGTGTGCGCAACACTGCCGTCATTCTCCTCGAAATTGAGCATAAGCTAGGCAGGCCACAGCCGCGAGCAAACGACCGGCCGCATCTCGGAGATCGCCTCGTGCTGGACGTCTCACAGCCTTAACCCTCTCCTCGCCCTGCATGTGATCAATTCTGACACTCACATTCTCCAGTTGGATAGGCCCACCCGGTCTGCTCTCAGCCGGGTGACCCGGCTCCGCATGAGGCGCATCAGAGATCTGCGTCGGCATTTCTGAGGTGGAGAACTTTCGCGTCCGAGGTAAGGCTGGGGCGTCTGCAGCTCGAGCTATGGGTTGGCGAGCGATGCAAAGATGCCGCAAAACGGAGCCGACCAGGTTCGAGTGTCGTCCGCGCACGACAATCGATGGGAACGACGTCTTGGAGAACGAGAGAGCCTCGAATGGACCGAGGTCACGCTTCGCTTTCTTTTTCTTGGTGCCAGGTGCCAACTGCTGCTTAGTGAGGAATGCGAATGAAGGGTAGAGTGTTGATGTAGCCGATCAAAGGCGGAGCGATCGCGTATTTGAACAGAATGCGAGGTAGCCGGAGTGCACAAGTGGGGGCAGGGAGCGATGTGTTCTTCTCGCCAAAAAGTGTGTGGTTGGGTGCGCTGCGCTGCATGACTCCCGCATGTGCGTCGCAAAGCTCGATCGACCTCAGCGCCTGCCCCAAACCACGTGGGCGACAATAAGGCTCTAGCGCGAATGAGGCGGTAGGTACCCTGCGCTCCACATTCAGATTCGTGATTCTGATCGTGTCCAAGCACTAGAGAACACTAACCGCGTACGGCGATCACATCCGCATCCTCTGGACTAGCCCCAAACGCTACAATCACGAATACAGCAGCGATATTCAACAGAACGTGAGGCCAGCCAAGTGGGCGGCCCACAACTGATTTGCAGGCGAGCCGGTGCTGCAGGCTGGCCAAGACACACCAAAGCGACGCGCAAATACGACTTACGACTCTCGATCCAAAGCTGCGCGTTGCCAGCTTCAAATTCTTCTTTTGGAGCGTCACATCTCTCGACCATCAAGTTCTGTGGCCAGGTATACACCACACTACCCTGTGGTAACCGACTCGAGATGCAGCCCAGAGCGGGTCAATCCCGGACACAAGTAGCTCGACCTGCCGCTCGGTACAGGCCGGGCAAAAGCCTAGCGGGCCAGGCAGACGAGCGCTACTCTTCCGACGAGAGGTCTTCGGGTGACGAAGCGCCAGGACGAGCATCCAATTCCGCTCAAAATGATACAGGCTTGACCTACTTTCAAGTCGGGCCCAGTTCGGGAATTGGATCGACCAAAAAGGATATTACGCTAGATCTGAAAGATGTCAGAGTGGGAGGGGAGCAAGCAGAAGAGGAGAGCGAGTACGAGACGGATACAGATGAGGAACAAGATGTCAAGGCTCCTGGCTTGCCGCATTCGAGAGCAGGGTTCGGGAGAATGCCGCCAACGAAGAAGGGGAGCAGCGAGGAGTACGAGACGGACACGGGCTCGGACGAGGAACAGTCTTCTGAAGAAGAAGAGAAGAGACCAATGATGGTCAAACCCATTTTTGTCCCAAAGTGAGCGATGCTGCGTCAGTTTCTCTCGCGGTCCCTTTGATAATGTCGTTGACAAGCGTCCGTCTGCGTCTCTGACAGGAGCAAACGAACCACTACTGCAGCGCCTCCAGATATGCCCAGCAGTGATCAGGCTCGTGCAGTGCCACAAAAGACGGAGGAGTCACTAGCACCTTTACAAACGCTCGACGCAGATGCTTTGGCGGAATTCAAAGAGGCAGAAAAGCAAAAGCAACGGAAGTTGCAAAGTCAGCAGCTGGCGGCGCAGAGCATTGGGAGACAGCTTCTGGAAAGTAAGTTGGACTGAAGTAGCGCGACAGCACACAAGATATTCCTTAAAGAGGCTCATGCTCATGAGTTCCTGTTGTTTTTTCTTTATCAACGTGCGCAGAAGCAGCAGCTGAAGCCGTGCCGGATCTGGACGACACTGATGGGCTGGATCCCGAAGAAGAGTTTCAATCCTGGAGGTTACGAGAGCTAGAGCGTCTAGCTCGCGAGCGATCTAAAGCTGACGCTGCCCAAGCCGAAAAGGCCGAAATTGAGCGTCGTAGAGCGATGCCTTCCGCTCAAAGAGATGCGGAGGACATAGCGCATGCAGAAAAGACTCGGCAAGAGAAATTGGAGAGGAGGAGGGAAGCTCTAGCCCTTGCTTCGGCCGACGGAGGGGGCGAATCTTCTTCTGCTGTCGGTGCGGGTGGGAAGTATTACCACAAGGGTGCATTCTATCAGGGCGGTCCCAATGAAGACGATGAGATTTTCAAGAGAGATTATCAAGGACTTACGGAAGGACAAGTGGATATGAAGCTGTTACCAAAGGTGATGCAGGTCAAAGACTATGGCAAAAAGGGAAGGAGCAAGTATACCAACTTGAAAGATCAAGACACGAGCAGATCAGGCAAAGATCCCAGATTCGAGCAAAGGCGCAACGGCGAAGCTGGGCAAGGCTGCTTTCGATGTGGCGGAGATCACCTGAAGAAGGATTGTCCAGAGACTTGGGTGGATACCCACGGGAGAGGGCCTGCAAGTAGAACCTCGACAGGCGCCAACTCGTACCGAGCAGACGGCAGGCGGAGAGAGTGGGGCGGTGAAGTCAGAGATGAAGAGCGCATGGATGCGCGCTTAGAAGGTCAAAGAGAAGACTTGGACCGGCATAGCCGCCACGAGAAATACGGCAGCAGACCGACTGAGCGAGAATGGCAAGACGATAAACGGCATCGACCTCACGATGAAGATCGCGAAAGGGACTATGGAAGTAGACGAGACCGTTCAAGAGAGCGGTCCAAGTCGGACAGACATGGTTCGCGCTATGATGACCGATCGCGCGACGCTTACGATTCGCGGTACCACGGGTCGGACCGCCGAGAATCTCGAAGACACCGCGTTAGCCGCGACGAGCCCTACGAGGACGGCCACGCTCGGAAGCGCAGACGAAGCAGAAGTCGGAGTCCGCAATAAGTTTGGGCTTCCGTGGGCATGTACCGCTATTTCTAGCACATACATCCACGACGAAACGCACGTATTTGTATTGTATTCGCCTAGGCCTATGAAACTTGTCGAGGCTCGCATGTTGCTGCGTGTTCTCAACAGCTTGGACATGTGAAAGCACAGAAAGAGTGGGCTTGCTGCTTGTTTTGGTGTGGAGGGCGCCGACGAAAACTCGCGAAGTCAACGTAGTCCAGCGAACCGAGCTCTGATGCCGCTCTTGAGCAGGTCAAAAGTCTCTCGTCTTGCCGCTTTGCCTGCTCTGTCACGCGCAACCGATGCGCTTGGCTTCCCATAGGCCGGCGCTTCGGGCACTGCGCTAGAGGAGGCAGCGCTCACGTTGTTCTTATCGACACGGCCAGACAAAGCTGACGTGCTCTCTGGTCTTGTGTTTTCTTTGCCCAGCTGTTCACAAGGGCGACTCTTGCGACGCGACGGTACGGCTTCTGATAGTGGTCGAACAGGCTTCTTGCCTTTCACCCGAGTTGCAACGGTAGGCGACGCGGAGTTGACAACACCCAGGACGCCAAGTGGCGCACGAGGTGGTGTGGACGCCATAGGACCATTACTCATTCGCCTGGTCGACGCATCGGATTGGGCCAAAGAGTGCTCTGAGATGAGTGGCACCAGAAGACTTCGAGCCGGATGAGAAGCTGCGCAGTCTTGATTAGGTTCAACGTCTGAAGGTGGCGCAGCTTCGTCGATCCACGCCTCTGCAGCCCACCCATGCGACTGGCTGTGCTCCTCGAGCGGTAACGGTGGCAATGGTGCATGGATGCGATCCACGAGCGAAAATTTGTGTCGGCCAGCAGGAAGCACAACCCCTGACGCGACAAGAGTGGTCAAGTGAGTTTCACTATCCGCTCTGGCAGCGTTTCTTGCATCACTCACTTGTCTTGACCACTCTGCGACTTCTAGCAGTGGGAGTGCTTGGAGATCTGCGGTGCTGCGAACCTACAGCAGGCTCTGCCGACTTTTGCGTGTCTGCTGCCACTTCCAGTGCGTGAACCCTTTGCCTGACAGACTTTGCCCATTCCGCCGCATCTGACTCTTTTCTTGGTCTTTCAAGGGCTCCAATGCCTGGCACAGCTTTACGGCGCACTCTTCGCACCGGGGTCGAGGCTACGTGCTGCGGTACTGGCGGTACGAGGATCTTTGCCGATTTCCGGGAGAGGGACCTGACGCTGGGAGACGGGCCTGCAGTGGAAACTCGTTCAGCTCTGAAAGATGGACTGAAGTTGTGAGAACCAGCACGGTCCTCCACAACCTGCCACGGCGACTCGGCGATGGACAGACGGCTACTGCGCGGCGTACCAAGAGCGAACGGCGTGGATGACATGGTCGCTCGACGGCCCGAATAGAAGGACAATGTGCGCCCGAGACTCAGAACGGAGGCGGTTGAACGTCTCCTGTGCATTTTGTCAGCATCGCCGTGGATGCGCTGACGGTGCGAGAGACGCGACGGGGTTGCGGATGGCTGAGACGGCCCCTGACCAACCGCCCGGACCGCTCCCGCCGACCGCGCTTGTTGAGTCTGTTCTTCTTGGCTGACTGATTGGCGTGTGCTTGCTCGCAAGCCATCGGCGCTAGAAACTAGACCTGACAGAAGACTAATAATTGACAGCGGCCGTTCCATTCTTCGAGCTCTACCTTGTCGATTTGTCGTAGCCTCTTCGCAGAGATCAGTTTGCTGGTCGTGCAGGCTTGATACCGGTGAGACGGGTCTGAGCTCGGGTGCAGCGGATCCAGGAGCAGCTGCATCGAATGGCACTTCAAGTGACAAAGACTGAGGTGAAGAGGACCAATACGAGTCGTTAAGGCCCATCGCGCGACGTGGCGTGGTCAACGTCCCTACAGTGACTGTGGAAGGCAATCGGCTGCGAGGGCCAATCAGTGGACAAATGGCTCCAGAAGCGTTAAGACGCGTCAATACTCTAACGTAGCCCGCCAAGCTGGCATCGGGACTGGCAACGAGTGCTGCGCTAAGTTGAAGGGACTCGGACAAGCCTCGACTGCGATGTGATACATCACTGCGCTGGCTGAGGGAGCTAGAACCAGCGTGACTGATGGCACTCGTATTTCCTAGCTCCGAGGCATTGCTGATACGGTCTCTTGCAAGTTCCATGACTGACACTTGGTTCGAGAGCAGATGCTGCATGTCGCTACTCAAGACCGTGCTCAGGCTGCTCTGATGGCGGTGATGCTGTCGAGCCCAGATCTGGTCGAGGCTCGCGTTGACGTGCCTGTCCCATCCACAGCTAGGGACAGTTGAGTCTTCAGTAACCTCATCAACGGTCTCGAGTTGCCGAATGCCATGAGTGTAGAAGTGTTGATCGCAGAGCATGCGAGCAGGACTGGCTCCCAGAGATTGAAGAGGCACCGTATCAGTGTGCTCGGTCTCACTTGCCGGCAGCGAATCCGAGCTGAGGCCCGACGCCTCCGCACCATCGAGGGCCTGCAGAGCGATTTGCAGATCAGCGCTGAGCCGATCGGCGGAAGTGATTCGCAAGTCCTGGCTTAGTGAGTGGCTTGAGCAACCCCCTGAGCGATCAGGTGATATGACGACCTCAACTATGCTCGAGAGGGTGCTGAGGCTGTCACTTGGACCGTGTGTCGAAGGGGTCGCGGTGGTGCCACTTGACTTGCGCTTGACAAATGGAGTCCGACCGGCGTCTTGTGCCTCGTATGCTGGGCTTGCCGGATCGCCATGATTTGAAAGCCCAAGCTCGGACCCGAGACTGCGCCTTCGCAGAACGCAGGAAGTAGGATCCAGTGACGAAGGTCTGGTGATTCCGCCAGGTGCCACTGTATTACGAGAGCCGCTAGTCTGATTGCTCGACGACATACCCAACAGCTGCGCCAAAGAAATTTTCGATGCCGTTGAACTGCACAGCGATCGTGAGCACGAGGGCTGAGAGGGGCTGAGGCCCTCTCCGCCTGAAACCTTCTGGAGCAACGAACGAGAGGTTGAGGCAGGACTCGGCTGGCCGGCCGATTGTTGCAGTGATCGTTCGGACCCAGAAGGCGCGCCAGCTTCGGTGGGAAAGGCGAGACGCGAGTCAACAGGGACCAAGAGTGTTTCATCCACTCTGTCATGCAAGTCAAGGTCCTCATCGAGGCTATGTAACAATGTTTGCCAGCTCTCGTCTGCCTGATGGCTTTCTGCTCGACATTCGCGACCCAAACTTCCTCCAGGTGCTATAGACCGTGTGAGATGACTGTCTTGTCTTGACGTGAGCTTGTTATCAGCATCATCGGTCACAGCTATGCTTGGAGTCCATCGCGTAGAATCTGCTGGGGTGTCAGCTACACCAGGCTCCGAGGACTCTCGTACGTCTCCAGACGTTTCGTCTTCCACCGGTCGTAAGGGCGACGCCTGCAAGAAGTATTCGAGCGCGGGTGCAATGTTGTGATCCCCTTGCCTTCGTGACGCATCGTTTGACAAGTATGAGATGTCTTGGGACGGGCTCTCCAGTGGATCGTGGACGTGGAGGGGCAGCAGCTGCCGCGTTCTTGCAGCTCGGTCCACGATCGGACTTGGCGTTTCGGCAGTGAAGAATTGATACGGAGTGCCCAGAGGTCCGCCAGGAATTCGCCTTTCTGTGGACAAAGCTTGGCGCTCGATGTCGTAAGAGAAGTCATCTAGCGGAATCCGGACGTCCAGGGAGCTGCGTTGCATCGAAGCATTTTGAGACCCGGTTGTGTCCGCTGAGACTCTGGACTCTTGCCCAGCGGGCTGAGGATCGTTACGATTTGTGTCTTCGGAGGCCACGCTGTTCGAGGCCGTATCAGGGCCATTCTCTGACTTGCGTAGGAAGCCGGGCATCGTCCTGTAAGAAATGAACAGGTTTGAAGGGGGGCAAAATGGCGCCCAACTTTCGGTCGACATGACTTCGCGCCTGTGTGCTTCGTACAATTCGCACAGCGTGCGCTCGTCTTCTTGAATAATCTGAATGCTTGCGGGAAGGGTGAGGCCAGGCACGAGCTTTGGCAGGATCATTGCACTCAGGCCGTCAAGCGGCTTTGCCGCCCCTTCAGCCTTGTCTTCGCAGCTCTGAGTCTCCCGTATCGTGTCGGCCAGCGGGGCGCTGCTATTGGCTGGTTGCTGATTGTCCGCACTTCTGCTCAGTCGAGTCCCTGCGTCCTCGTCGTCACCAACGCGCTGTATCGAGCTGCATGCGTGCGAGCTATAGGCGTCCTTACGAGAGCTACAGGTTGGCAGGATCTCGAGAGGCGGCCTGGGACAGAAGAGCAAGCTGCCAGCCCGCATCCAAGTAGACCTAGACTTCACGACTCTATCACCTTCAATCTTACCCGCTGCCCAATGGCGACGGTCGTAAGGCACATTCTTTATTTTTGGACCGGTCAACGCGTAGTTGCAATTGGAAACGCCCGCTGTAGTGGCCTGTTGCCAGCCGTCCGACTTCGATCGATCGTGCCCATTCGTTTCCGCAAGGGTTGGTGCTCGGCCCGAGAAGGTGACGGTTCGGCGATGGAGACCTTCGTTGGGCGTGAGCGGAACGTCGTATCCATTGCATCGCTCAGCGCTGTGCACATCGACTTCCGAAGCAGCATCAGCAGACTGAACAGTACCTGCTAGGCTCTTCGGGCGGAGGCTGATCAGGCGCGACGTCTGACCCGCTGGCTTTTGGCTCCGCAACTCGGCATCTTGACGGCTGAGTCTGTGTGAGACACCGGTAGCGTGACCTTCAGATGAGCTTGATCGACGAGATCTAGAGCCCGACGTCACAGAGTTTGAAAGTGACACCATCTCTCGAAGACCTAGTCCCTCCGTCACGATGACTTGGATTGCGAGTAATGGACTCGTAAAAGTGACGCCTATTGCCATAAAGATAGCTAGGAGCAGCGGTTCTCCTTGGTTGCCCTGCATACGGCCGGCGCCGTTCATGAGATATGGTACCGTCATGACCTGAAAAGCGGACCAATCAGCAGCTTGTCCCCTCTCAGTGATTTGCAAGTGGTCTAGAATCGAACTCACGAGAGGAAAGCAAATTCCAATGACGGAGCCTGCTATTCTGACGAATACGTGCTTCAGCTCCTCGTTGCCGAACTGGCTCGAACCGAGACTCCGAGATGAAAAATTTTGCTGCTGGCGGGCATGGAGCGCTACCAGCGCACCACTTGCGCCGAGCAAATCCTCTCCGCCGCCTTGCGCAGCGAGCTCGGCAGGCGGGCGAGGCGCTCGCGCCTGAGAACCCACAGCACCAGTCGTCAGCCAACTACGCCATGAATCAACGGTGACGTAGCCGGGCTCGGCGATGCGACTGTCACTCTGCTCGTGGCTGGTACTTAGACGTGACTGGCTAGGTCGAGGACTAGGAGCGAAAGAGAGACGCGAAGTGGGCCGCGCATCTAATCCTCCCTGAGCCGGACTGTCTGCTCCAGAGCTCGTCCTTGACTCTTCCTGTGCAGAACTCAGATGAGAGTCTGCCTTGGCTTCCCGAGTCCCTGTCGGCGGATCTGTGGATGAAGCGCCAAATGTACCATCAAAGTGGGGATCCTGGGTGTGAGAACCGACGATAGCGCTTTCAGATTCCTGCTCGTTGAAGTACTCGAGGTAGCTCTGACGCGGCTTGATGACATCTTCGTCTCTGTGAAGTGATCGGCGCTCGAGGGAAGCGGAGAAGCTGCGGCCGTGAGCAAAGCTACAAGGCGGGCATCGACTGCTCGATGTGCTGGAGGCGGTAGGGCGACCGCTTGAAGGCAAGCTACCGTACGTCACCGACCTTCTCTTCAAATTGCTTTGCGCTGTTCCGGGTCGCCGCACATACTTTTGTGAGTTGACATCCACATCAGGTTTGCTGAGCTCGTCGAGCAGGCCATAAGCATCGAGAGTCGAAGCGAGGCCGCTGTTGCCAGTGACGCGACTTGCGACGGTGCCAGGGGCAAAGAATCCGCTTTCTACCCCAGCACTCCGTGGCGGGTGACGGTCGCGTGGCTCGCCGAACGTGCCGCAGGAAGATTTTGGTGGCACTGCCATCGCACCAAATTCCTGGGTAGTACTGTCGTTGGCTGTCGAGGCTTTCGTAGCATTCGCGCTTGTGCTGACAGCTGATGATGTCAAGACTTTTGCCGAAAGACAGCCCAGAATTTTTGACATGACGCCGTTGAAGGGTTTCCAGACTGGCCTTCCCTGCATCTGTCTCTGCACATTCAGCAGATGCACCGCAAGCGACCCGAAAGAGAGGATGGCGATGCCGCATGTGAAGCCCATGATCACCACAAACAGAATGGGCACGATGGTGGGATCGTCTTGCAAGTTTTGCAGCACGGAGAGGAGTAGACATATGGCTGCGCCCAATATGAAAGAGAAGCTCCAAAGTCTGTGGCCCACTCGCCCAAGAGCTGAAGAGGATAGGCAATTGTGGCTCCAGGCGTGAGCTGCTGCAGTCGCCAATAGCACAGGTCGCAAAATCAGAGCCAAGATGAGCAGCGGTGAACCGGCTAGCCTCTTCGTTGCAAAGGGTTCAGAAGGCAGTTGCGGCTCTTGCGCAAGCAGGACGGCGTATGCAATGAAGCACAGCACGCTCAAAAGATCGAAGGCGGACAAGAAGAGCGTAAGTCGCAGCGCAGTTCGCAAGCGCTGAGATGGCCTGCCACGGCATTGCTCAGACTGGACTCGTGAGGACGCGCTACTGCTACTAGCGCTTGGAGGGCGATGGAAAAGAAGGCCAGAATCGGATCTGAAAGTTTCGCTACTTTCGCGGGCATTCTTCAGACGCTCCGATGATGGCGAAATTTGCTCTCTTACCCGCAGTGGAAGCAGCAGCCGTACCAAGATGAACGCGCTGCTGAGAATGGAAGGGACGGAGAGTATGAGGGTGACCTGGAGGAGGACGAGGGACGACATTGCAACTGGCGCATGCGCGCCCAAAAGGTGAGGATGGATGAGAAGTGTGGTGGATGACGCGTGATGGAACTAGCAAAGCCAGATGCAAGAGAGCTGATGAGGGTCACGTCTGGAAAGACGACAGAGCCGTAGCAGTGGCAGGGCAGAGCGAGTCGTAGATGTTGGCTGCACCGAGGCTCTGTTCGAAGACATCACGCTCATCGTGAGCGAGTGCTGTGGAAGTCTGCGCAGTGAGCATCTGGCGCATACCAATCTTACCAATTCGAAGTTTGGCTCCTAAGCTGCAGTCTGAAAGGGCGGCACATGTATCGAAAGCTTGGTGTAGCCTCTAAGAGGTCGAACCCCTTTAGCGCAGCTATAGACTCTCGGTCATGAGCAGTTCTTCGACTCATCCTCCTTCAGATGGACGTTGCCTCAGAATTGACACATTTTGTGCCTATGTCAGCGAAAAAGACGCATATCCCTCACCATCGGCCTTCCCATCTTCATACTGCTCTTCAGACCTTTGAGTTGTCGTGATTGAGCTCCTTAGCTTAGGCATCAATTAGTTGTCAGGTCACAATCGTCGACTGAGCGTGGAGCGCGACAGTTAGGCTGCGCCAAGGGTCCAATCTAGACATCCTCCTTCTGCGCAAAAGGGCAATTGTCCGCGCTTCCCGTTCGTGATTGCTTGATATGCATGCTGATCTTCATCATATCACAATCACATGCTATCTAGCAGAGACTTGTCATGCAAGGCTAGCTGTGACGACCTGTATGGGGTGTGTGGTGACGGTCGGGAGGATTGCGCGAGACGACGTGAAACCCACAACGCTGCTCACAGCACAGACTCAGCTCGGAAACCATGCAACGCGGTACATCTATTACCTCACGACTCGTGCATGTTTGTGTACAAGGTACGCGTCGCGCATGCTTGGTGGTAGGCGGCGAGACGCGGCTGTTGGTGTGCTTTGGGAAAATCAAGCTGTGTGCCGTTACGGCGCGTCACACGCAAAATAGATTCACATTCTGGAGTCACCAGTCACGAGTGGCGCGCGATGGCCGTCTGTGCTGAAGCTGATTCGCGATTCGTGAGTCAGAGTATATAGAGACACGCGCTATCTTGACTCAGACGCACTCTTCTCCTGACTTGCCTTGATTGAATCATGAGCAGTCCTCTCTTTGACTCACTCATTCCTCCTGCCTTTGTGACGAACAGAAGCGGATCTACGTAGTCAAGAGGATGACGGCTTCCCCGCCCACAACTCAAGGAGGTTTGCGGTGCAGCGAGTTCCTAGCAGACGATCACGAAAAGACGGTTAACATGCGACTGCGAGCATCTGCCGCGCACCGATTGTGAGCGGTAGACCTGTCGAGTGTATAGGCACAGCATCACGAAGAATCGAAAGGCAAACATCGTTGAAAACAGCACTAATATTTACGTTCTATACAATTCACCATTCGGATTCACGTCGTGTACTCGAGAGAACACACACAGCGGCGTCTTTGAAGCCCTGAAGGGCAGGGGGGTTGAGATACATAGAGACTTGATGCTGCAGAGGCAGGAATAATGTTCTAGACAATGAGGGAGACACCAACCGAAAGGATCGTGATGAGAAGCGCGGCGCTCAGGCCGCTCAGGGATGCAGCGCCGTCGCCGCTCCCCGAGCTTGATCCGTTCGAGCCTGTGCTAGAGCCTGAGCCAGAACCGGACGTTGAGCCTGAGCCTGAGCCAGATCCAGATCCAGATCCAGATCCAGATCCAGAGCTAGAGCCAGATCCCGAGTTGGAGCTGTTGCCGCTACCCGGCGCAACCGTGAGACTTGAGCTGATCGTGCCATTGTTAGCCTGAATAGCCTCTGTCGTGCCATTGCGGATGTTTGATGGGAACTTGCCGTCGAAGAAAGGAGCGCCGCAGGTGGCATTAATGGAGTTCTTGATCATTGTAGAGACCAGATCAGAATTGTTGATACCTTGCACATCCGAGGCTGACGAGAGCTGGGTGAAGAGAGCGTGGTTGCAATCCGTGCAGAACTGAGATGGGTTAGATTGCAGCTGTCTGATGGCGTCTTGCTGAGCTGTAGCATTGCTCAAAAGGGACATGAGATAGGACAACGAAAGTTGCTGAGATGTGACGGTTTGGATGTTGCTGGAAATTGGCAGGACACGTCAGCACAGGCACGTCGACTGCTCATCCCTGAACAGTACGTCCACTCACTTGAGGTCGTCAGTGATGCAAAGATCGCCGGACGAGGCTTGGAAGCAGGCAGCCGTCCGCAAGGTAGTATAATTTTCGATGACGTACTGCAAAGGGAGCGGAAGATCCAGATCCGGTGCCACGTCAGCGAAGGTACAAGCAAGTCCTACCGACATCAGAATGCCAGCAAGGCCGAGCGCGAACGGAAGTGCACGCTGTCTGCGTGGTGACCTGAAAAAGTGCCTATTTGAGCGCACCCAAGACGGATCCTCGCCGTTGCAGCTGTCGCTGCCCTTCCATCCTTTGGACAGACGATGCCCAACGATGCTTGTCTTCGCCGAATACTCACACGAATGCCATTTGGCAGATTGACGCCATTGTTGCTGCCCAGACTGTCAGCACACGCGGTGTGCAGAGTCTCGTTGGCGCTGCTAAGATAGTTGCCGACGCAAGCGTCCTTCGCACAGACGCTCTGCTTGAGGTACTCATCGATGGCAGGTACGATGCTCTGGCTTTGATCCGCAACAACGCCACCAAAGATTCTCAACGCGTTTCCAATATCCAAGCATCCAGCAGGGTCTCTGGAGATCAGTCCTGCAAGACCCGTCAGGCATCCATTGGACACTCCGGCAATCAGCGGCTGAGCTGCTTGTGGCGTGCTCGTCGTGCTGTTGAAAAAGGGAATGTTGGAGATAGAGCCTACGAGCGTCGAAGGATCGTATAGCAAAGCTCGAGCCGGGGCAGCCGCAGCGGCTGCGAGAAGAAGGGTTGCGATGTGGGCGTGCATTGTGACTAAGGTCGAGAGAGAGTGGCGCTGCTTGAGGAAGCAAGATGAGAAGCGACTATGAGGGACCGGGAGCAGGGAGGGTGATTTTGGCAGATGGAAGTTGCGATGGACGGCTTCTCTCACCAATGTGGTTCAAAGAGCGCCGGTGTGGAGCTTCAACATCAGCCTTTTGAAGGTTCGGGGCGTCAATCTCTGCGCTGCATGCCGCACAGTCACGAGTATAGGGACCGCACCCCTCTCTGGCTGCGCGCGGCACCTGATTCAAGATTGTCGCATTTTCAAACAGCATCCCCATACTTGACCGTGAGGCGGTGCAATGTGACCCTCCCACATGGCGGCAGCTCGCAGGCACACAAGCAGAGCGACAGACCCCAGTCGCAACACTGGTCATGACGACTGAGACGAAAGTCGGACTCGAAATTGGCCCAGACCCAAGAAATATTGTTACCGTACCGTGACGGCAAGCGCTTACTTGAGCGTCGGTGCGGTCCAAGGCGTGCAAGTCGACGGACTCAATCAAGAAGTCCTCATTCAATTCAAGATCGTTTCAGAAGAGAGCCGCTGTGCTCTCGCGGGCTCAGGTCACCAGCTTCACGTTTCGGAACTCTAGGGCCGGGATGCAGCACAAGCGGCGAAACCCTGCGTGCCACTCGGCAACGTCTCCACCGCGGGGCCTTGCCAAGGCACGCGAAGACATGCAACGCCCAATCGTAGAGAAGATGAGCCGCCGCCGCTTGTGTACCTCAAAGCATCGTTAGGCACGTTTCGTGGGCCTCAAATTCCAGTGAGGTGAGCGTGAAGTTGCGTGTGTGTTGCCGCGGCCTCGGCATGTCTCTCATGGACACGTGTGCCGAGACCTATGAGACAACAAATGAGCCCGGCTCCTGACGCTGATGGAACTTGTCCCGGACCTGAATTGATTTGGACACTGTGGTGAATATGATCTGAGAATGTCGAGATTCGCATAGCTGTGATGCACAGCCCGCCTCAAGCAAAGCTGCGATCCCGGGGAGCAGACTGTCTCCGGCGCCACGTTGACTCAGCACACAACTAGAGGAAGCAGAGTATTCGCAGACTCCTCCTGCTGACCTTGAACGCCGTTCCTGTTGTGAATTTTGCTGTGCACGGCTTCCCGATGCGTTGATTCGAAGAACATGAAAAGCTTCCGAATGTTTCGTCTACCCCGCGCGGGTGTGAAGCAAGAGGCTGCATTCACATGCAGCATCCGTCGCTTCTAATTATTCGAGGAAATGCAGGTCGCTGCAGGCCCGCGCGGTGAATTCGAGACATCAAAGCGCACAGGGTTGCGAAACCGCGGATGTTCTCCGAATCTGAGAACATTCGAGACCATTCTGTCCATCCATCGCCTTGACTCCGTGACCTTCAACTGGCGTACACCCGTTGCGCGGTAGTGGCCATCATCTCGCGGAATGTCGAACTTTGGAATCGCATCACATTTTGGTCTTTGAGCACGATGTACAGGCAAACATGCAGGGGTCACGACAGCGGCAGCTGAAGATGGCCCTCCTTTATCACGCATTCAGTCGACTGATCAAAAGCTTGACACCAACCATGGCAGCACCCAGCTCTCCGGTGGCCATCGAAGCGGCTTCCAAGTGCAAGCTGAGCGCCGCGGGCTGATTCCTCGCATCGATGGCTGCAAGAGGCACGAGAGGAGGGTTAGCCAACGTCACCTGAGGCTTGACACGGTGGCGACGAGTGCTGACCTTGTATCAGTTGCGAAAGGATGGGCAGCAGCCTAGCATCCACAGTACCACAGTTTAGATGATCAAAGAGCAAATTCAGCCTTCTTTCCGCGTCGTCGACCATTCTCTTCTGCGCCGGTGGTGCAGTAGCGCGTACACGCGCCAGCTCGCGCGAAAGCACATTGAACACGGGCTTCTGCGCATCAGGGATGTGGCTCCGGTCGCCAGGCGCTGAGCGTCGCAAGGAAAGCTGTCAGCGGATTTCTTGTGCAAACTTCACCAATGGATTGAACTCACGGTATTTGGTGGCCGGCTTCGCAGGAGTCTGCGACCTGAGAGGGGCGCCCGCGCCCGCGCCAGGAGTGTGCGCGCGGGGTGGAACGCCACCTGGCGGCATCAAAGGCCCACCTTGAGGTCCACCTTGCGAGGGTGGAGGTGGTCTAGCGCCAGGCGGGGCACCATACTGTCCTCCTTGTGCCGGTAGCTGCTGTCCAGGGAAGCCGCGCTGCTGCTGTTGCTGTTGCGGATTGAGGCCAGGTTGCAGAGGGCCGCCTTGACCAGGCATAGGTGGAGGAGGAGCATTGACTGCACCAGGAGCAGGGGCATACGCACCCGAAGGTGGCGCAGGTCCTCGCGTGCCAGCAGCCGATCCCGCTCTCGGCGGGCCTGCGGGAGGAGGACGAGCCTGACCAGGAGGACCGCCGCGAGGCGGAGGGCTGAATGCACCTCTTCCTGGGCCGGGAGGTGGTCCGCCAGCGCCTGGAGTGGCGCCGCGAGGTGGGGGAGGCAGGGCGCCGCCTTGCTGAGGAGCGCCGTATGAGGGAGCGGGGCTGTTGGGGAATGGCGAGGTGATGGGTGCTGACACCTTGCCCTGCACGGAGGGCGTTCCGCGTCGAGCAGCTACAACGGGGGCATCGTTCCAGCCTCCCTCCGCAGTGACTCGCTTAGGAGGCGGGGGTGGTGCTGCGGCCGTCCCGAAGTTGCCAGCAAAGGGCGGCGGAGGAATGTTGACTCCAGGTGCTGATCCTTGCTGGCTCGCGCCGGCGTCGACAAACGGCGGAGGTGGCGGTACCAAGGGTTGTGCTGCACCGTAAGCTGAGTTGTTCTGACCATAGGCGCCGTAAGCATTCTGCACTCCTACACTAGGAGCCTGGGCATTGTACGCGCCGTATGGCGCTGGAGCACCATATGGGTCCGACTGAGCGCCAACCGAAGGTCCGTAAGCGTCGTAATTAGCTGAAGCAGGAGCAGCATAGTTGTTTGTAGCCGGCGCAGCAGAGTAGCTATTGACAGCCGGAGCAGCGTAGGCCGGGGAAGCTGCGTAAGCGTTTGCGCCACCCACTACCCCGTTGCTGTAAGCGCTCGAGTTGCCTTGCGACGTAGTCGGGATCGCAGCAGCTGCCGCTGCTGCAGCTCTTCCGCCAGTGCGTGCTTGATCGACGGATAATAGCCGCTCGCGCGCTGAGCTTGTTGCAGCGCCGTTCGGATTGTAGTCAGCAGGCGTCTGAGCAGCGTATTTCAAAGCAGGCTCGAGCAATCCCTGATCCGCCAAGAGCGCAACATATTCGTGGAATCGATCGTACAAGCTTGCCAGCTTGTAGACGCGTGCATTGCTGTCCGCGCCGGGCTGTGTGGGCGTTGTCAAATCGATGTCAACGTAGCCGACCGCAGCTTGGAAAACAGTGATCTTCTCAATGAAAGTCTGGAGCGCTTCGGCGTGAGCTGAGTGCGCACTACCATCAGCTGTGGCACCAGCGCCTCCGGCTCTGATGGCGGCCTCTTCTTCTTTCATCTCGTCGATCCACATGCCTGCAACTTTTTCCAACTTGCCCGCCGCTAGATAACACAAGATAGCATTCTTGCGCAGCGCCTTAGTCCTTGAGCGCGTGTACTGGAATTCCAAGCGTTGCCCAAGCTGTTCCGCAAGGTTACCGAATTCTTCGCCCTTTGCGAAGGTACAAAGTACTACGAATATCTCTTGCCAATCTGCCAGGTCTGCATTTTGAACGACGTCCGTAAGGTCGTCAGAGACGATGCTTTGGAAGAGGCGCAAGTAAGGAAGCTGAGTAGTGCGCCTTTCGAAGTACGTCTTTTGGGTGCGCGCAAGGAGATCGGGACCGCCGCGGGCGGCAAGCAACAGTGCGTCCGCAAACCTATCAGATGACAAGCAAAGGCTGACAGCGCTTTCAAAGTCGCCCAGTACGAGCGCTCGGGTGATCAGACGCTCTCCTTCGCCTTCTTCCGCAGGATATATGCGGAATGTTGGTCTCGGTGCGCCAAGAGGTTCGCTTGCTACACTAGAGGGTCCCGGAGATCCCGCGGTAGCTGCAACAGAGCTTGCGGACGGAACGGCAGATCCAGAAGCTAGCAGATGCTCCGGCAAAGCCGAGCGGGGCGCGGTGCCTGCACCAAGATTGTTGAAGAAGTCTGCTCCCGCTGCTGCACCTGGCGTGCCGGGGCCGACGTTGTCATCGCCAAACAAGCTGACTTCAGTCTGCTCAGTCGGAGCAGTCTCTCCTGACGACAACTTCGCAGCTTCGCTGACATCGTCGGCTTCAGACGGTGCCGTAGTCGTCTCGCTCGGAGCTGTGGCGGCAGTCGAGGGCACAGGAGCATCTACCGCAGCGCCAGCCTCGGTCTCGGCGCTCGCAAAGCTAACGGAAGGTAGATCGCCCTTGCCAGGGTGTACGCTCGTCCGCTTGTATGCGTTGATTGCAGCGCCTACCTTTTGAGCGACATCCTCTTTACTGAAGCCAAGCAAAGCCACAAGCTCATCCCGAGAGCCCGTCGTGAACAAGGTTTGCAGCGCCTTCCAGTTTGCGACATCGTCAGGGCGCGTCGTAGGGTCCTTGCTTCGCTCGTCACAAAATGCAGCGAGTCCACCTTCGGCTTCCAACGCGTCTTGCAGGCGAGAAGCACGTGCAACAATGCCAGGTTCGGTGACGACATCGCGAAGGTGCACCACAGAGCTTTGCGTGCCGCCTGTTGCAGACGGTAGATTTGAGATGCTAACGAGTTGGCCACCAAAGCCGAAGGTGGCACTCGCTGGCCGTCTGAGCCACTTGGGGGCCTGGCGCAAAGTGAGACCGCGTCCTCCCAGGGCGGCATCACTTGCCGAGGGCAGACCGAAGACATCTGAGCCATCGGCAGGAGGAGGGGCTGCGCTCGTCTGGGGCTCATTAATGGAGGCCTCGAGGTTGTTGGCTTGCAGGCTGTGGATGCCAACAGTGCCGTCAAAGCTAGCAGTAGCCAGGAGGGAGGGGTTGCGAGGGCACCACTGGACATCAAAGCTCCAGTTGTTGCTCGGTGGGAGCTCGCCAACAATCTCGGCAGTCTGCGGGTTCCATGCCAGCGTCCTGTTATCCTTGCCACACGACAGAAGAAGGTCCGAGTCTTGCTTGCACCATGACATTCCCAGTATTCCCTTGTCGTGCCCAGTCAGGATCTTCTCAGGAGCCCGCGCATTGCGCAAGTCCCACAGCATGATGATAGGAGAACTATCATCGTCGGAAGCAGTAACGAGACGAGTGGGCTGGATGGAAAGGTTCTGTTGTGTGAGTAAAGTCCCGCAATGCATTGAGTATCGTTCTCATACCCACCGTGTCGGGGTGCCAGCAAACACTTCCGACGCCTCTTCGGCCTTGTTGACCCGCAGCGCCGGGTAGACCACCCGAGGTAGCCGCACCTCCGCCATAAGCAAGAGCAGTGACCTCGCGCTTGTTCTTCAGGTCCCAGACGACTGTGAAACCGCTTGCGCTACTGGTAGCCAGAATGTGAGCCACTTGGCTGTTCCATGCAGCCGCTGTGATCTCGTCCAGCTTGGACGAACGTGCACCGGGAGAGTATGGCTTTGTGGGGTTCGTGAGATCCCAGATGAAAATCTATGCAGCGCGGTCATACAAGTCAGTCCCAACGCACCCGACAGAAAGCAGGCCACACTATGACGCACCTCTCCATTGACGCCTCCAGATGCCAGCAAATTAGATTGGATAGGGTTGAAGTGCAGTCCCTTGATTGGTCCAGTGTGTGTCGTATTCTTCAGTATTTGAGCGCTACAGCACATTTGGGGCGTGAACCCGCTACGAGTTAGTACTTGTGATCGCAGATGGCATGGCAACTAAAATTACGCAGAGACTCACTCGGCACCGCCATTGAGAAGAGTGTCTGCATCCCAAATCGCCAGTTCACCGCTCTCTAATCCGGCAGCCAGGAAACCATATGGCTTTGCGCCTCCAGCATGACCCCAAGCGAGACGATTGAATCTGGCACTAGCGACGGCGGACGCTTTTGGCTTCAGTTGAGCGTCCACCGCGCCGGTGGAGGAGTATGATGGGCTCCATATCTCGAGCAAGCTGTCGTTAGAGAAAGACGCGTCCAAGGCACCCGCTACTGTTCCCGTCGCTAGAAGGGGCTCCGAAGCGAGGAGGGAAGAGGGCGACCAGCTGAACGCGGCGGTACGCGGCAGCGTGGCCTTCATGGCTGTCGGCTACCTCGTCGATTGTCCGAGCGCTGGTCTGAGCGACGGGGTGTTCGAGCTTCGAGATCGATGGTCAGCTTGGCTCTAGGCTGTTCAAGATGGGGCGCTACGGCTTAGCAGGCTGTGTTCGCGCGCCTGTTGTGTCTAAGGCTCAGGACGAGCGTGAGAAGAAGCGTTGATGGGAATGTCAGAGTAACAACCTTCTTGCACAAGTCGCTCAGTAGTTGACCAAGGCCAGCGAGGTCCGTGCCGTGGGGTGCCCGCACGCGATGCAAGCGTTGTGCGCTCTACTGCTGCATTGGGCGTAAGGAGTAGCCAGCGCACCTGGGTTCACTGCGCACGGATGTTGAGCTCATATCATGCACGCGCTGGAAAGCGAGCGCGACACGTCGATGCACGGGAGACACGTGGCCGCGGTAGCTCAGCGCTGCATGTAGATCGTTCCGCCGCCTACGAGAGAGAGATCGTCCCAGGCAAATCGTTCGCCCGCAACGCTTAGGACCCTTCATAGCTTCATGATTATTCACCATTAAAATGTGAGGTTGCCAGATTTATACTTGGTCCAAGGGTGTGGCACGCTTGCCGATTAGAATTTGACACAAGCACGACAATGAGGTGCACAACCATGAATGTCCCATTCAAGTGCGGCAAATATCAATTGCAGTAATGGGACGCGTGGCAAAGACAAGAGGTATTTTGAAGAAAGTCCACGTATCAGCTCGGTTCTATCGTACAAATCAAACATTTGGATCGGTCTCGAGAGTGACGCGCAAAGCGTCACTACACGAGAGAAGCCCCGTATCGACGATCGGCAAAATCTAGTGGTCCTTGCTGGACAAGGCTCTGAGCAGGTCGAGAGTGCTATCATCGCCGACGGTCGTGTCTCCAGCATCCTGCGCCACCCCACTCAGAGAAGCTACTTTCGCTTGCTCTTCGCGGTCCCGCAAGGCGGCAGCTGCCCTGGCAGCCACCCTGGACCTGTCCCTCACTCCCCTGAGTAGATTCTCAACATCTGTACGACTCTGCGCAGTCGAGGTGGAAGCAGTGGACGCCGCGGCTGGATCTCTTTGGTCGCTGGGCCAGATGCCGGCTCCAGCACTCGAAGTACCGCTCGAACCAGCACCGCCGTGTGAGGAGAGCATCGAGCGCGAAGCGAGTTCCTGAGCTGCACGTGCAGAAATAGTCGTCACGTATCTCTCGGAGATCTCCGAGAGCTGCGTGTAAGGGTGCGTGCGGGTACGCAGCCGATCGACCTGAGAAGGAGCGCGGGCGAGTCAGCGATTGCACAGAGAGTGATCCGAGGCGACCAGATTGGCTCACATTATATTCTACATCGGCCCATCGCGCGTCAAGGTCGCTGCCACCCAGCTCGGACTTGATGTCCTTGGAGGAGCGCCCAGCTTCGATCGCAGCTGCTTCCTTGGCCGCCCGCCTGATCTCGCGGTCTACCTTCTCGCCGCCACTTTTAGGCGCCCAGTGTGCCTCAGCGCCTAGGACGGATCGCGCATCCGAATAGATCTTGCGCATCTCCTCATCGAGGTCTTGGTCAGGGTCCCACCTAAAGTCCCCCTCTTTTGGATCCACGTCTAGCTCCTCGACCGTCTTTCTTTCCAGCTTTCCGCTTCCGCTTGAAGACTTCCCATTGCTCGACGATTTCCCTGCTCGTGCCTCAAGCGCAGCGGTCTGTGCTTCAAATGCTTCCAGTTCCGCTATTTCGGTATGCCAAGCTTTCAGCTCACGCTTCGTAGACTCAATCGTTGCAGCGAGCTCCCTCTCTAAATCTGCATTGGTGACGTTGCGAGGGTGCGGCGCTTTACCAGGCGGAGCTTTCGACTGATGGGGAAGTGTGGGCAGGTACTCCGTAAGCTAGTGGTTTCAAACTTTCAGCGACTAACCTTGCTCACCTTGTCCTCCCAGGTCAAGTCGATCTTTGCAGAGTCGATGTCCACCAGAGTACGTTGCAACGCGCCTTCAACAGCGCCTCTTGCCTTACCCAATTCGGACCTTTCTTTCGAGCTCAATTCCTTGACATGGGCGAATTTTCCGTTTGTCAGCGCTAATGGAGGAGGTGCCGGTGTCTTATCCTTCCCTTTGCCTTTGGGCGCAGCGATTCCATTCGCGCTGCTTCCGAATGATTTGGCGTCTGCTATTGCTTTGGCCGTTTTTGAATCCAAGTGACCCTTCAAAGCATCGTCGATGCCGCGATTGAGCACCCATGCTGAGAGATGCCGCATGCGCACCAGCGGAGGCAAAGTATTGGAGCAGTGCCTGAATAAATCAGAGTCCGGGATCGAAGCGTGCGGATAGGCAATAGTGCCATCCCGCAGTGAAGAGACTCGTCTCTGTGATTTCAGACCCATTGAGTCCCTTCGCCCTCTCGCTTGAGGCGCTGCAGCGCTCGAGGCGCCTGAGTCTGCTCTTTGCGAAATGGTCGAGGAGGAAGGCAACCCCATCCCAAAACCAAGACCAGCACGAAATTGCTGATTGCGTCGATTGATTGGTGTCTCGCCGACCTCGTCTGATGGAAGCGGCTCCTGCCGCGTCTTAGAAGTGTAGGCGGACGCTCGCGACCCGCTAGCTTTCCTCGAGGACTTGGCTACTGGTGCAGCGTCCGCCGCGTCTGCCCGAGTGAAGATAAAGTCCTCGTCTCCTTCCTCGCCATGCGCTGTGTAAATGTGTCGAGCAAGTCAGTGCGAGCTCGCAGTATTTACGCAATGCCTTGTGGTGGCACTTGCAAGCTCCTGCGCTTGCGGGATGCAGGACAGATAGCTGTCTGTCGACCTCTCCTGACTCCATGTCGCGGTAGGCCGCTTTATCTAGAACTCGCCCTCTCGTCCTCGTCCGACTCCAACAACGTCCAGCTAGAAGCAACAGAAATCACTCACTTTTGCGAGGCGCTCTCGTTCGACCATTGTCGCGCGTGGCGGCACTCCGTTTGGCGGATGCGGCAGTGCTGGGGGGTGGCATGTCGTCCTGCGCTTTCCGCTTGGCATTGGCAGGTGCAGTCCGAACCGTGGGGTCCCTTACTGGCACTGCACTCGAGCCCGTCCTAGCTCCCCGCGCGATCTTACCCTTCACACTTGTGATCGCAGCATTGGCGCTCCCACGCGCAGCACCTTGCCCCCCGCTAGACTTACGCACTCGCTCGTGCTGAAAGGTCACATCGTTCGTCAAGTCTCCTCTAGTAGTCACTTCCTCCTCTGAATCTGCCATAATGTCATCAAAGTCTCGCGGAGCTGAGCGAGTGCCTCTAGCATCTCCACCATTCTTGAGGCTTCTTGAGCTGTTCAAGCCCCCGGTGGAATTCGAACTTGGTCCTGAGACCATCGTCGTGCTCGACAAGCGTGTTGATCGACGTGACATCGCAGAAGACGCGTGATAAAAGGGCACGTACTGATTGCCAGACTCTCTTCCCACGTCAATGCGTGGTGCTGCGCGGCTGGAGACGAGTCTGCGCTGCGCGGCAATTGTGCAAGGCGAAACTTTCTGATCTCTCCGAGACTGATGCCAAGGACGCTCAGGAACGCCGCGTTCTGGGATGGCAAGATCCTAGTCCTGAGTCGGATCGATCGAAAGCTGATCGGCAAAATACACGTGCGAGGCGTGGATTAGACACGTGATAGCTGTGTCTTTGGGCTCGTCGGGCGCTGTGAACGAGACGAGGCAGCTTGCAACCGTAGCCTGCTCGGACCAGAGGGCGGTGCAAAGATATGGTGGAGAAGAAGGGGCAAGTGCGCAAACCCAGGCGAGCAGAATGAGCGGGTGAGATGGTGGGTGCTGGGCGTGCCTGACCTGAAGACGCGCGCGCATAGAGTTGATTCTATTCGACGCGTCGCGCGAAGGTCGAGCAAGGGAGGCGCGGACGCGGGTGCAGCATGCATGTCCACAGCGAGTCGCCCTCGAATCTGTACTCGGAAGCGCTTGCAATCAGCCTGAATCGACTCATGTCGCTCGAGGTAGCGTTTCGGAGCGCTACCAGAAATTGATGTGATACAGGATGCAGCTGGAGCCTTGGGCGAGCTTGGTAGATGGCACCTGCCTATCCGCTACCTACACGGCCTAGTGGCACAGATAAAGTGTGATCACGTGACAGTGGCACCCCGCTGAAGGGACTCACTCAAGACTTGACTCATCAATCAATTTTTAACTCGTGACTGTCAATTTCAGATCAATTGAAGTTGAGAAGAGGGACTGAAGCAACAAGTGGATTTGCAATTCGAATAACGTTCAAGATCCATTGGTGGCAAATATCATGGTGATAGCACCTTCGAAGCGAGCGTAGGAAACTCGGTGCTCATCATCGCGCGATTCACCAAGGGTGCGCTTCTCGCGACTCACAAGAAGCCCACGCAAGGAATCGAAGATTTGGTGGTGACTTGAGCCGCAAGTCTGCCAGTCTAGGGGCGGCGCGCTTAGCGTAGCTGCATGCCTTCTTGATTAATGACTGGGACTTCGACGTTGGGCACGCTGATGAGGAAGTCACGATGCTGGATGGACGGCCGGACGGGCCGCGCGACCGACCGCCTCGAGCGCAGCGCGTGATGCAACCCGCCTGAGCCATGCTGCTGCATGTTGTCCCACGCCTTGCATGGGCAACACTCGCGCGTGTTGCCGCAAGAGCCCTCGAACAGTACATGTCGATTCCAAGTCTGCTGGAGGCGGCAGCGTCAGCAGGCATGCAAAGAAAGCAAGAGCCGTGAGCGATGCTGGTGGTGTAGCTCGATCTCGGGTATTCACTTTTGATTCGAGTTGTAGTCAAAAGTTCTACTCTGACGTTTGTGTCTGTGCGTCTCAGCAGAAAGTAATGAGCAGAGCTCATGACGCGCGCCCTTGCAGCGCCGGTAGTGCGGCGACAAAGCATCCTGCCCGTGCGTGTGGGCGCGGCATCACCGCAGGCAAATCTTGAAATATTTGCGCTGTTAGCTCGCGTACGTGGATCCAGCATCGTTAGGGTGGGCGCTTACTTGGGATGCAGCAGGGTGAGTGCTTTGCATGCATACATACTCTTGCACGGTTGCAATCACAATTTAGAGCCGACTCACGAAGGGTAACTTGGCACACCACACCCTCCCGAAGCACGGCTTTGCGAAAGCGAGGTTGCGTCAAGCAGTCGTCACCACCTCCTAACCCTTCCGCCGCACATCCCTTATTCTTCGGCCTGCGTCTCTGTGTCGACTGGAACGCCTGCTGCTTTTAGCATCCAAATCCATTTTGACCCTCTTTGGTGGAAGCCGACCCATCAGCCTCACCCCCTTGCAGATCAGTCCAGCGAAGCGCAATACTCACCCTCACAACTCTCGCCGTCCTTACAGCTCCCTCTTCGAGCTCGTTACTATGTCATACAGCGCTGCAGATATGTATTCTTCGGGTGGCGGCGGAGGGGCCAGCAGATCAAGCATGAGGCAATCGCAATATGGCCAGCCAACTACGGCTGCATCAGGATATGCTAGGCCGCAGTCGGGCGCCATGGGAAGAGCTCACCAGGCGAATAATGCCAATGCACAAGGCTGGGCGCAGCAGGACGATTCAGACGATGATGAGAGCGACGGTGAGTTGGGATCGAGGCCTATGATTGTTCAATGCGGCGAGTTCTCCATTCAGAAAGGGGACGCAACACCTGCGCCACGTCCTGTCCACGCCATCTGTCATTGCTCTGTGCAACATGCAACCTTTTACCCACACAGATGGCCTCTTCAGGCCGCACGATGCAGGCATAGTTGCTCATTGCACACACCGCCTCCCCTTCGCACAGATGACTGGAATGTGTACGACGATTTTAACAATGCGGGTCCGCCCACCAAAGCGGCCCCTTCGATGCTGCAGCGATCGAACAGTGATTTCGATAATTATGGAGGAGCGACGCAGCCGTACAGGGACATCGAGGCCGCGCCTGGCGCTCCCGACTTGCCGCCAGTTGATATCGCAGGTGTCCGCGGGGCGGGTGGCAACAGGCAATCGCGCGTCCAGTCAACGCTTCTCGATCCCAGCGCTTTCGGATTTGATCCACGCGTTTCGGATCCTAAGCGCATGTCCGTCATGGCCGACAACCCCATGCCTAGTCGTCCATCGGGTTACGATGCCTACGGACCGCTCTATGAGTCGGAAGACACTGGCTCAAGAGCCAAGATGCCAAGCACCCCTGGAGACAAGGCGGGCTCGGAGGGCATCGAGCTCATCACCGTGCCCGCTCTCGGCGCCGAATATACTGATGAGGAACGCCGTCAAATGCGCACCAGAGCCAAGAGAAAGAGCAAAGCGAATGCGAAGAAGAGAAAGGTGCAGGATGAGGCGGGCAAGTGGGCGAGGGGTGAGAAGAAGTACTTTGGATGGCTTGGCCCTCGAGCTGCGGTGTTCCTCGGCTTCGCATTTCTGGTGGTGTGAGTGTAGCCTCATGAAAGTGCAAAACGCACACAAAGCTAATCCCTGGTGTGTGGTCCACCTCCAGACTCGGCGTCACGCTCTATTTCGTGATACCAAGGGTGCCAACCTTCGGTCTGCGCACCTTGGAGCCAGTCACGGCGGTGCCAGATGCTGGAGGCATGTCCACCGGTGGACCGCCTGCTAACTTCAGCATGACAATGAACCTCAATCTGCAGGCCAACAATCGCGGAGGCTGGGTGACTAGTCAAGCTAGCGATTTAGAAGTGATCGTGACCGATCTGATGACTCACGAGAAAGTAGGACAGGGCAAGATGGCCAGTCTCGGCTTCAAAGGCAGAGACAAGACGCAATTCGCTTTCCCGGTACAATTCTCTTACAGCAGTCTGAACGCTACTGGAGACGCGACGTACCACAATTGGCAGGATGCCTGTGGGCCAAAGTGTGAGTTTTGGCATTGCAAGCCGGCGCTGCAGTCACAGACAAAGTTTCTGATTCAAGACAGTGTGCACGCCTCGGCATCACTCCAGATGGTGGAGCGAAACGCCCCACGCTCAATATTGCCCTCACTCTTACGATGAACATCGCTGGCTTGATTGGTCGTAAGGGATCCAGTACGCAGCTCAATTCGGTCGTCTGTCCCTTCGAGCTGACCAATACGTGAGTGTTGGCCAAGCAGGGTATAGCGTATATAGCGCGCTCAAGCATCTTCTGACAGGCACATTTTAAACCTCCCTCATTCCCAAAGTCAAATTCATTGAGACGCATACTGCTGACTCCATCGCGCCCAGTATCTGCGTTACTTTCTGCCAGGGATCTCGCGATCTTTTGTTCAGCCCGGCCCGTCTCCTCTCGCCTCGTTCTCCAGCTCACTGCCAAGCAAGCTTGTACAACCCAAGGTTCCCCTGAAGTCGATCCTATATCGCATGCAGTCTCTTGCAGTTGGATCAGTCCTCTATGACTTTCCCGCTCTCACCAATGAACAATTGCTTTCACGTTCGAAGCGACAAATGAATGACAATCTGCGTGTGACTCGGCCAAGGTCAGGTGCCCAACACTGCTCACCGCGTCTGTAGAGGGCAGATCTCAGCGTATTGCCGGCACATCGCATCACACCTGGCTTGAGGGCAGCGTGAGCTCATACCTTCATTCGCGCCACATCCAGCGAGCGCTACTTTCTTGGACTCAAATTTGGTTCGCGTGGAGGCTCTCTCTCTGCGGAGAAGCGAGGAGCCACTGAGCAGACATCACTCTGCACATGCTTGCGTAGTCGCGGTCATGTTGCGCAAGACGCCGGGCTGCACAGTGTACTTGCATGAGGGCGAGTTTCGTCCAACTTCGCCGAAGCGCCCCGATCGTGGTATGGTGACGAGTGCGGCCATCTAGCATAGCAACCATCTCACTACGTGCAGTCAGTTTCTCCCTCAGGCTGAGCAAGACATCTGATTGATCAGCACCAAGACGGACTTGGCCTTGCGCGCCAGGTCGTACACCGAGTGTCCGATCTGGACGACAGCGCCTCCTTCTACGATGCCGCGAGGTTCGTCGATCGCCCTGCGCTGCGGCAACTGCCATACATTCCCGATTTGCGTCTTCTTTGGTGCGTCACCTATCACCATGGAGTAGACCATTCACATTTCTACCAGCTCAAGTCTGACTCTTTTTCTTAATTTTTGTGTCATCCATCGTCGATCAATACGCGAGAACGAATATGAGCGGGACATTTCGATTTTCATTCATGTACAATTGTGTTCATAAAAGATCAAATTGGTCGGGTGCTCACGTGAAGCATCTATGGGTTAGTGGTATACTGCTCGCTTGCCATTTCATGCACTGACCACAAGTGCGCGGAATCAACTTGCGGGCGACACGGGTTCGATTCCCGTTGGATGCAAGCTCTGCCAGCCACAGGCGCGGTGTACTTTTAGTCTGTTTTCTTCTTGCTTTTCGATTGACATTTGTTTCTCTCTTTCTCTCCATATACATGTATACTTTTGCACCTCATCAAGCGAGTGCAAGAGATTGAGTAGAGACCGTTGCCTCGTGCAAGCCTGGCAGTTGCTGCATGAGCAACGCAGCACAGATGTGGGTAGCGCCACTGGCGAGTTGAGCCCTTCCCGAGCAGAGGTCCAGGCAAACAACAGTCACGAGTCAAAGAACGAAGGCCGCCTTTTGAGAGATCGTACACAAGGAAGCAAAGGGATTGCAGAGGAGCCAAGCAGAAACGAACGACAAACGACTGCTGACCACCAATCGTGGGTATGCTATGACTCGCTGCTCTCATGTGACAGTGAAGGCCAGTGGGCGGATTGGTGCTGTCAGATTGATCGGTAATCTCAGCGCGAAGACAGGACTCGATCTGCTCTTGACGCGCAACGGACCGAATCATCCTTGTGGCCTGCTGCTTTCTGCCCGGCGTGCAGGCGTGTTACGTGGCCTTGTGCGGGGCATCCTGTTGCGCGCATGCAAGAAACGAAATAAAAGCGTGCAAAACCCCGTAGAAAGCTATGAAAGTGAAAGGGCGCAGAAAGTCAGCTGGTGCGCACCATTTCTAGAAGGCCGTGTTCAGCATATGGCCAAAGAGCGAGTTGCTCGTGGAGTAGGATCCGATACTCACGGCTGTCCAGGCCCAGCTCGGCACGTAGTTGATGCCTGGCAACGCCGTTGAGCTGACTTCTCCGAAAAGTCGAGGTACGGCTTCCAAAGACCTCTCTGCAGATGTGCGTCCATAAGGCGAAAAGCGCGATCTCCATGGCTTCAATCGCAGCCATTGCGCATCTTGAAAGTGTGTGGCCGACGTGGTCGTAAAAGATGTACCGTCAGAAGGCGGGCGTAACAGGCGAACCAGCTCCTCCGGGGATGGAAGCCCCCTAAATGAGGCTGTGGCGAGGGGGTGCGAGCGAACATGCAAACGCGGGCCTTCTGAGTCTGGCCTGCCCGCCTCATCGATAGGCGCAGTGACTAGATAGAGCGCAGGAATGCTGCAACGAAACAGCAGGATTCAGCGACTGGTTCGCAAGGCCGTAACAGGGACGATATGAGGGCATCAACGCGCTGCGCCCCTGTACTGACCGCCATATCCACCACCTCCAGCTTAATCTTGTGCAATGGTGGTCGTCCAGGTCCGCATAGCCCCACTCCCAGAATCTGTGCATCTCTTCTCTGAGACGCGGTTCTCGCTTCCATAGCGATTTGAATTGATTTTCTTCGGTGACCCGTAAGTTTTCGCGCTCCATCTCCTTTCCAGCATGCCTTGACTCTGTGGCACGCGGCGAAGGCACCGACTCTGACGTTGTCTGGGTGATCCAATCATCTATGTTAGCGTTCAAAGACGACCTCGGAAGCGAAGCATCTGGCAGCAAAGAAAATGAGGTGGGATCTTGGTAGAGGAGAGATACCGTTCTGTTCACTAATGCCAGTAGTGCTTCAGATCGCGGGTCTTTTGAAGCACTGAAGGCGGAATCGTGCGATCGTGAGCGCGCGATCATCATTCGGGCCCTCTTGCGAAGACGTGCAAGCAGTTCAAAGTCGAGGTTCATCAGAACTCCACTGAATACTCACACGATAGCGATGACCCACCCCCGGTTTCGGCTTGTAGCATTTTCAAGCCCTAGCTGAGCCTCGATGTTCCCCAAACCCGTCGGGTCGTGTGAAAGCTGGGTCAACTGTGGATGTAAGGGGGGTTTTGGCTTGGGCTTGGTCCAAAGATGTTCTTCAATTGTATCTTCCGTCTGGGAGAAAAGATTGCTTCTCAGTAGCTGTTGGCAGGTGTGGCGAGGAAACGATCGAAGCAAAGTTGCGATTCGAATGACCGACTGTGTCAGTGCAAGGTGACGAAGGGTTTCTCGAAGAGAGGTCAAACATCGTAACACCTCACCCGCTCAAATTTCTCGGCGATTGGAGCTTCGTCCAGCTTTCCCAGCCCGGTTGTGTACCTTTTTCTAGGCTGGTGCTGCAGTGTCCCAAAAGTTGCGGTGGTCTGTATTGGCGTCCCAGACTCAGGCTCAGCTGCGATGCCTCCTTTTGTGGGTGGTTTCCATCCGGCACCTGCAGAGAAAGTGATTCAAGCACATCGTTGTCGATAGCATTGTTAGCATCAAGTACTTCCGTACAATCAACAGCAGCAGCAAATTGATCGCTGCACTGTCCTGCAGATGCTCGGACAGCGCACATATGCCGGGCAACTGTAACCTCACTGAGATATTGTGCCTGGATGCTGGCTACCAGAGAGAGCAACAGCAATAGTATCATGGCCACATTCTTGCACATGCGGGACCAACATGGATTTGAAGGTTGTGGAGGAATTGCGCGCATCTTTGCAAGCTTGCATCCCATGGAAGAGAGCACATTTGCCTTTACCTTTGCGCACCCGGGTAGCCTTTAGTCGAGCACACCTCCTGCCTCTCTTATGAAAGGTTGAATATTGCCGCCGAAGGACTCGGATTGATCTGATCCGTGCGCATACATTGGACTGTCGCTTTCCTCTTCACGCGCTCGACATGGTGTAACAAACGCAGAGGGGGAAAATGAGCATGCAAACCTGGCTGATGTTCGTGATTTGACACAGCGCGGCGTATGTGTATCCCCTTTTCGGGCACGTACCGGCAGAAGAGTTTGAAATCATCAGTTCAAGTGCGCGTTGGCTCACGTGATGAGGGCAGCCTAGAAGGCCCTCCACTCACCTCACGACTCTTGACTTTGATTCGCATGCACGCCTGATGTCAGCACCCGCGTCGTGCGTGAGTCACCTTCGCTTTGAAAGCATGCATCACAATCTTGCCCAACATCTCTGTGGGGAAGCTTTGCAGCTTCTCACCACACCACACGTATACCCTGGTGGAGATGGACCTCGCGAGGTGTTTGGCTTCAGCGACTTCTCTCTCCTCCCTCGGCCATTACCACAGATTCGAAGACTTGAGCGGAGGCAGCCACAGGAGGCAGCACCCGGGAGCAGATACTTGGGAACGCCAGTTCCTTGTGTAGAGAACGGTTCACTATGTCACAACGTTTCATGAACATCGTAGCGGCACATTTCGTCCTCAGTGGAAGAAGCGAGTTCATCCATTCACCAATCATTTCGGCAAGGCGAGCTGTCAGCGCTCACCTCAATCTCTACGCACGGAGAAGGTCCGCTCAGACTTCCGAACTGCACACGACGGTATTTCGCCTTGCTTCATCGTCGAACAAGACAGCTAGGCGCAGCAATCCGGCTCCTGGTAGCGGTGACACAACATCTGCCGGTCCCTCGCGCTCATCCTCCAAAGCGGGACCGAGTGGGGAGGCATTGGATGAGGCCAAAGGTGTCGAGACATCGAGCACGTTAGGCAGCTTGGAGCGCAAGCCAAGTTCAGCATCACAAGCAGCTTCAGCCGCAACATCACGGAGTGCCGCAGCCGATGAACAGGATATTCATGGGGTTTCTGGAAATGTAGGCCGCAATAAGGACCAAAGTCAGCCGAGACAGGCGAAACGGAGAAGGCTGCCGCTGATACTGGCTTTGCTGGTGACAGCTGGTGCTGGACTGTATGGCGTGGACGAGTATCTGAATGCTAGGATCTTGCAAAGGAACATCAGGACACTTTGGTGCGGACTTACCATAGCTCTGGACTACAAGTAAGTGAACCTGGTTGAATATGGACACAGTGGGGAAGCTGGTATCTCAGACGATAACTGGAAAGTCAGACAGGCAATACTTTGATACCTTGCCGTTGTGCTCAATGCTGAGGCGCTCTGCGTCTGGCTCATGCTTTGACGAAGTCCTACGACTGCACGGCTCGAGAGCACCTACTCGATCTTCAACTGTCACTGATCTCACGATGCTTCGTCCCGATCGCAGAATCAATTTTGACCCTAAGAACGCAGAGAGCGTCGCAGCCCTACACGAGCGGTGTGCGGACCGCCTTCTAGCAGTCTGCGATGAGAATCAAGGTTTATACACCAAGTTGGGGCAGGCAGTAGCGAGCAATAGCTTCATCCTTCCGAAGCCGTATGCTCAACTTAACAGATTGTTGGATGACGCCGAGAGGATGCCTTGGGAGATCGTCAGGAAGGTTCTCGAGGGCGAGCTGGGGGACCGGCTCGAGCAGGTGAAAATCACGCTCCCGCTGCGCGCCACGCTTGTCGCACATGCACTCACACCTCCCTCATTGACCCCTTAGGTCTTTGAAAGCATCAACGAGAAGCCGATAGCGGCGGCCTCGATAGCCCAAGTGCACCTGGGCATCCTAAGAGGGAATGGTGACGAAGAGTCCCGCAAGGTCGCGGTCAAGGTCCAACGGCCGCAAATTAGGGCACAAGCGTACTGGGACCTGTTGTGTTTCCGCATCCTCTTGCGTTTTTATGAGCAGATTTTCGAGCTCCCGCTGTCGTATTTTGGGCAGTACATTTCTGACCAGGTGCGTAGGCACGGGAGAATCGATCGTGCCATAATGAGACTGAAAATTGCGCCGCTTCGCTTCGTAGATTCTGCAAGAAACTTCTTTCGTCCACGAAGCGGAGAACTCGGAGCAACTGCGCAAGTACATCGCTACGGATCCTCTCAAGCTTGTTCGCGATACCGTATCGGTGCCTAAGGTATATCGCGACTTGTCGGGGGAGCGCGTGCTCGTGATGGAGTACGTGTCTGATGCCGTCAAGATGACGGATCAGAAGGGGATGGAAAGGCTAGGTCTGTCCGTTAGAGATGTAGCAAAGTCGGTTTGTGAAGTTTTTGCGAGTCAAATCTTTCAGTACGGGCTCGTGCAAGCAGACGGACACGCTGGCAATATTCTCGTTCGGAGAAACCCGCAGTATGAGAACGCCAGCATCTTCAGAAGTGCAGCCAAACCCAAGCATCAGGTGATTCTGATCGACCACGGGCTCGTCATCCCTCTGTCAGAGGACTTTAGGAGGCAGTACGCCAAGCTGTGGAAAGCCATCTACCAGGTCGACTTGCCGACATTGGAAAAGATCACTCAGTCATGGGGCATGGGAGAGGGGTCGTCGGAGCTTTTTGCGAGTGCTACATTGATGAAGCCCTGGAGCAAGCCCAAGACGGAAGCAGAAAAAGCAGAAGCTGCAAAGAAACGCGCACAGGATCCTCGGTCGGATGCGGACATTCAAAAAGAGCGCATGAAGAGCTTCCTCGTCCAAGTGGAGCTGACACCCAAAGAGTTGATCTTTGTTGGTCGGTCTATGCGCATCATTCAAGCCAATTGTCAGGTGCTTGGATCGCCGGTCAATAGGCTCAACATTCTGGCTAGACACGCAGCCTCCGCCCTCGTATCCCCGAAGAGTCCGAGTTTTAAAGAACGTGTGGACAGTCTACGCTTCAAGACTGCTTTGTTCATCATTGACGGCGCTTTCTTGACCTCCCGTTTGGTTCACTGGTTGTCCCTCTTGTTCAGAAATCCCCTGGGAGCACTGGGTCTACGAGAATTGGCACCGACGGAGAAGCGCAAAGGTTTAGAGGACGACTTGGCACGTGGTATGCAAGAGATGGGAGAGGAGTATGGCTTGGATCTGTCGGACGCATTTGAGATGGAACAGTAGCACTTGCAATAGAGCATCATTTCCTTTCGTCAAACACGCAGCACTGAAGGGGCACGAACGCTTCCTAGACATAAGCAGATGCACTCTCCGCGTATAGACAGTCGTGTCGCGCAGCATACGCTATGTGTCTTTATCCTCGTCCTTGCCCGGCCACAAGATACCACCCCTCCAAATGGCTCTGGCATGCATAAGTAGGACACAGAGGTAGGCGGTGATCAGTAGGAGAGACATCGCCGTGCTGACCCAAGTTACAGCATTGCTACCCAGCGCGTTGCCGATGCTGATGGTGGAGATTGTCCAGCCCACGTTTGGAAAGAGCAGGCCGTACCAAACGAGGTGAAACTCCATCTTCTTCACCCCGAGCAAGATTGCGCATACAGTCACCACGAACCACCAGAAAGACAAGGCCCATAAAAATATACCGGTGGCTAGGGCGATCACTTGGAGCGTCTCTGAGGCCGTGGGATGACTGCTGAAATAAGAGGTTGCTGCTGGTGTCGCTTGAGACATGTTGATCAGTGCCAGCGCCGTGAATGCCGGCGGCGAGACTGCAATCATGAGTCCTGCGAGAGGCGTTTGATTGGAAGCAGGGCGTTTGATTGGAAGCAGGGCGTTTGATTGGAAGCAGAGCGGATTTAGCTGCATCTGCAAGATGGAGGCGGTCGGAAATGAGCACCGCTGCTCACCTGGACGTAGATTTGGAGCGGGCAGTCCGATCTTCATCAATCGCGTGATGAAAGGCCCATACATGGCAATGGAAGCCCAAAATCCTAGACCTTGACAAGTCAATCCCGCTACCAGAATGGCTATGGCTTGGCCGGGAGGCTGACTGGAGGCGATCGAGCCCGCAATTGTACCCGTCAGCATGACTGGGAGCATGGGCAAAAGCCAAGCGGGGATGATGTCGTGATTTGTCATGCGTCGCGCAGTGAAAAGGTCGAGGTAGAGGAGCGAGGCCATCTAAAGAGTGAGAATCAGATAGTCAGATCGAGATGTTCAGAGAGGGCGATAGACGCACGCTGCACGCGAACAATGGAGAGACTCACAATCAGCACCGTGGCAACATAGAACCAAAAGAGCACTCTGATAGTGACTGTCAGCCAGTTGCCCGTGCTGGACGAAGCGTAGAGCTGCATGCAGATGATGATGTCCGCTACAGAGAGCCAAACGGCAGGCAAAAACAAGCATTCTCCTGGATTTCTCAAAGATCTCCATAGCAGCTCGGGCTTGCGCACGAAGCGCTGCACGGTGAGGGTGATGATGGTGATGAGCAGGACGAGGTCAAAAATGAAGACGACCTTGCCAATCGTCTGAAGGCCGCGAAAGGTGTGCGGTTGTTGACCTATCACCACGGCTATGCCTCCCGTCGCTGTTCAAAGGCGCCTCAGCATCAGCCACGAAGCTATACCCGCCCGCTCTCGCGTCCGCCTCGTTGCATATTGCATATTCACTCACACATGGTAACGAGAAAATTGGCCCATGTCACATGCAACAAGCGCTCCGACCATCCCGGTTGGCTTTCCGAGCCCTTTTCCCCTCCAGGCCCGCCTTCGACATCTGTCCATTCTGACTGCGGCATGGTGATTACCGTGTGCCCTGCCGCGTCCGAGCTGTGCAGCGAATGAGGGCGTGTGACCTCTGTTGAGAATGGGCAGATAGATGGTGAGTTAGAAGAGAGCCTTTACAAATGGGCTTTGGTCGATCGCGACAAGGGAAACAAATCGAAAGCAGAAGGGAAACAAATCGAAAGCAGACCCCTGGCCAAATCGACAGCATGCAGCAGACAGGGTCCAATAAACTCTTCCGCCTCCAAACATCCCTCTGCTGCATGTCGGCGGATCTGCAGTGTGCATCAGGTGCGTAAGAGATCGAATCGCTTATCTCAATACGGTAAAGCTAGGCAAGGCGCATCGGGTCAAGCAAGCACGCGCACAGGTTTCCCCGCGGGGATCGTCATCGTGCGTCTCCAATTATAGACTTCTTCACCCTGTTGCTGATGCCGCTCAAATCACTTGAATGTCAAGCAGGGTGTGTGCACCGAGCCATTATGATCAAGCTCAGCCCGGGCATCGCATTCGCAACCTCGCTTGCTTGACCGGTCAGAACCTCGTAAGCATCGCAAATGGACGTGTTCATGATTCTTCCGAAACAAGACGAGGATGA